CACACTTGGGTCAACTCAAATTAAGCAAATCTGCCAAACCAACTTAATGATACTGACTTAATAAAAAGTGCGGTTAACAACCGAAGCTTCAAGGATGGACAGTCATGTGAAGCACGAAATATGCGCACATTTTGTCTGAATGGAAAACTCGACTAAACCCTACGCAGGATTATCGGCCAGGGCATAACAGTGTCCGTCAGCATAGTTCAAAACACAATCGCCCACAATGATCAGTTAGCAAAATTAATGGACATGATGAATGTTTAGTAGAGGAAACCAATACTGACGAAATAAGACTAACTCGGAAGTGGTTTCCAAAGTTCGGGCTTGCATTAAAATAAGTGAGCGAGGAAAACACTTCGCTCAGCCTGAAAACAGTAAATCCACGAAACACTACATACTAGTAGAAAAGGGATGCTTGAGAAACAAGGGTATACAGAAAATTGCCAATTTCATGAAACGTCAACCGAAATTATGAAATGAGTGTTCGATAAAAAAAATATTTAGGTACATTTGTAGTATCGTGCAGCCTAAATTTCAGGATACATCATGCACCTTAGGATGCCGGATTTTGAAAGGATCTTCTTTCCAGTTACCTTCAAAACACCAAATGCAAAAGACGACTACTTATGTGGTATACAGTTTTCTTTACGACTTTCGAAGCCCTTATACATTCAAATATTTTTTAATACAAAAAGGGCACAAAATATTCTCTTTTGTACTTATTTTGTAGCAACTCACACCTTTAAATCTCATATTCGAAGGAAGTGTGTCTTGTGGTTTAAAAAAAGTTTCTAATGGTGATATTTCAAGACCGTGAAATATCCATTTATAAAATACACAGCATGGTCCACATCAAATACAAACATTTTATGAGCACAATGTAACGCCTTCCTCATAGCTTAGAGAAGGGTGTTATTTTCCCTAGACTAAAAGTACAGTAGATTCCCTATCTCATGAAATGTCAGCCGGAATTCTGAAATGTGCTTTCGATCCAAATATATTAATAATGTATTGTTGTAAGAATGACGATCGTATAGCCTAATCTCAATATATTTTGGTCACGTCAGGATGCTGGCCTTTTAGCGACCCTCTTTCAGACAGCTTATAAAAAGTATGTGCTGTAAAAGGTGGCTACTTAAGTAGTATGCATTTTCATCACTGATTTTGACAACATTTAATAATTCAAATATATTTTATGGAAAACATGCACGAAAAAAATATTTCTTGTACTCGTTTGGAAGCAAATTATGCCTTCTTTAAGTGTCATACTTAAAGAAAGGGTATCTTTCGGTTAAAAAAGTTTCTAATTACGAGCTTTTTTACGATTTTGAGGCGTTCATTCATTATACATCACGTCCGTCAATTTATTAATGCTGCCTTTAATGTATACAGCATGTTCCACATCTGTTGCAATAATATATGAGAGCTATGTGATTCCTTCCTCAAATCGTAGGCGAAAACGTACTTATCCTTAAACAGGATGTACACAGTGTGCAAACCTTGTATTCAAGTGTACCAGTCAATAGGTTTAAAATTATTCGGCAATTGAGAAACTTCTTTTAAAACCGAAAAATACCTCTTCTTTAAGTATGACATTTAAAGAAGGCGTAATTTGCTACCAAACGAGTACAATAAATATTTTTTTCGTCTAGATTTTCCATAAAATACATTTGAG